ATCCTGGAATCGATTTTTGAACCTATCGATTCCACTACCTCCTGCCTGTTTGACAGTGCTACGTGGTGAAGGGGGGGCAAATGGTTGAATAGGGCACTGTCGAAATTTCACTGACACCCATCGGAAAAAAAAACTAGCTTTGACGGTCATGTGGTAAGAAAGTTGTGTTGCAGCCAACACCAATCTGGAGCTCATGTTTTTCTTGTCTGCATTCTCAAAACCAAAGCTTGACAAATCACCATTGTCTTTTGGACAACTGCTTTCAGGGGAGTAGCGTGGCAAAGGCCATTGCCGGCGGCCATTTCTCGAAGCCAAGCTTTTCAGAGTGCTTGCGATTTATTTTTTTGATGTTTTCGATGTTGGGAATGGCGTGGCCTCAATTCTGGCGGTTCTCCTACCACCGCCAGGATAGAGGGATATCGAAAGGGCCATTTTCAAAAAAAAAAAGAAAAAAAAAAAAAGAAAAAAAAGAACGGCGTGGCCTTTGCCTCCTGTCATGCTCCGGAGGAAGTTGCCTGCAAAAGATAATCAGACGAAGTTCTCACACCATGACTTCCTCGATAACGCATGTTACAGATTTCCTGGCTAAATTCAGTCAGCTGACTCAGCTACAGATTTCCTGGCTAAATTCAGTCAGCTATGGACCGTCCTCGTGTGAACACCTCTGCTAAGGATGAACCCCCTCTATCCAACCCCCCTTGTCAGCCACGGCAGCTCAGGGAGAGCCAAGGGCTACCGAGACCGCGGAACGAGTCTTCTTCAGTCGCCTGCATGTTCTGCTTCTGCACTGGGACCGTCTTGTTCCCCCTTTTCGAATAAAAGGCCTAGATGATGTCTTCAAAGTTCAAACATACAGCCTGGGAGTTGCATTCAATTTCGATCTTAAAAATATGGAATCTTCTTCTTTTTTTTTTCTTTTTTTTTTAAGAACAACACAAGTGGATGCTAGGGGTGCTGGTAAGAGCAGGCACCACTAGCATTCCCAGGATGCTAGGGGTGCTGGTAAGAGCAGGCACCACTAGCATTCCCAGGGAGGCTCTATCTATTGGTGGGGAGCAGCGCCTCCTGCAAAGGGGCTCCAGCGTCCCCCTTTGAACATCGTAGCTGTTTTCTTGATCAGACATATAATCATGATGACAGTCAGCTGCAGGGCTACAAAGTACAGAAATAGGGAAGTAGAGCTCAAGAATTGACCAAGTTGCTTGCCTCCCTGACCGCCTTTTTTTTTTTTTTTTTTTTTTTGGGAACAATGATGCCCTGTAGAAAAAACATTCTACGAGAATCTCGCAGGTATTCTTGTGGTTCTCAAAACTTCTTTTCTGATTCACATTAGAGCCATCCCACAGGAGTTGACTGGAGCTACTGCTATCAGAAGGTCTTGACCGATGGAACACGTGGTGCTATCCCGAGGAAGAAACCAAGAACCACGTGGTTCGGAAAATAAAAATCAACTTCTCGCAAGTGGGGGATTCAGAAGAGTGAAAACATGGAGAGCAAGATGAACACTACACACTGGCAGGGGGAGTTTAAAAAAAAAAAAAAAAAAAAAAAAAAAAAAAAAAGATGAACACTACTCATTGAACACCATATGAAATAATGGACCCAAGCATAGAAGCAAGCCGTAGTGGTTTTTTTTCTTCTTTTCTTTTCCCTTTTACTTTTTCTATAGGGGTTTTTAAACACTGCGGCTACGACTTGATAGACGTTCCTTGTAGAGGAGCTGAGTAATCTTCCCCTCCCACCTTAATCATAGGACTGCTGAGAGCCAAAAAAAAAAAAAAAAAAAAAAAAAGAAGAAGACTGTTGAACAAGAACAGTTTAACGAGTTTGCACTTGTGCCACCCTTCCTTTTTTTTTTTGTTTTTTTTTTTTGTTTTTTTTTATATATTGCCTTCTCCCTTGCTTCAACATCTGATCTTTTTACTCCGTTGCTTCAAATTACTGAAGGGGGTACTTACCATCATAAATGTGGGGAATCGGCAGTGAGTCCATGGCTAATCCATGGCTCTCCTTGACGGTTGTCCGGTCTTCTCAAATGCAGGACCTAAGTCACATAACTATCAATATAGCACAAGTGATTGTTCGTCAGAAGGACAGTAATCTGATCACTCATTACTCCAATCCCATTGATGTCACAGAACAGAAAGCTGAAAGCTTATTAGGTCCAATACCATAAGTAAAACAGAAAGCTCCTCCTGGTGACAGTGGTGAGTAATCAGGGATATTGAGTTTTGACTCTTTTGAGCCCAATCACTCGTTACTTGCCGTTAGTCCAAAATACGATTGATGTCCAGAAGCTCTTTTTTGAGTCCAATCACTTTACGCTATTATCACGCCGACGGGGATAACATAAAACAGAGAGCTCTTTGCGGACAGAATAGCACTCAATCCTCCTGGTGACAAATGACTTGCTTAACCATGGCAAACTGCCACTTTATATACTACCTCTCTGAGCATGAACACTTGAGAGAGAAAAGGCTTGCCAATGTTTCACACATATATTCAATCGGTTCCATGATTCCATCAGTCCTGATTACTCCCCTCAGCTGCTGCTCAGCAAGCCAATCAGCTGCTGCCGGTATACTTTAAAAAAAAAAGGCCAGGAGCGGTTATCGACGTAGTGACTGCAAGCGAATGGAGCTGGAGCAGACGTCTGTCCTCCTGGCGGCAACCGAAACACCAACCATGTTTGCCAGAGGATCGCACTGTCATCGCCCCATGTCACTTCTACCATCTTCACCCGAATAAGAAGAACACCCGGTCATTATCGCTGAATCTGGACTGGAATACAGCTATAATGACTGGGCGTTCTGTTCAGGTGACGACGGTAGGGGAAAGTGAACGGTTGAAGAAGTTTGGCAGAACTGGAAAAATAAATACCGGGTGTTCCCATACACACGAATTTCTACAAGTATGAGCCATCATCAAACAACCCCTTCCATGTTCTTCTGAGTCTTATTGATCAAAAGTTGAAAACACTTGGGTCCTCTATTCCTATACAGCTGAACAACGGCATTACTCCGGAGGAGGCCGCTTCATCCACACATCAACCCGCCATCCCCGGGGAGAGAAATGTCCCCTTTCGAAAAGTTACGCACCGTCAGCGAACCTGCCATCCTGATATCTCCTCCTAAAACATAATCTTATATGTCTTGCCTTTCACACCGCACCCTCTTCCATCGTCGCGTCCTTACGGTATCAGCAGATTCCACACTAAATACGATCATCAAGTCACCGTGGTACACGCAAGCACCATATTGATTTCTTGTACGATGGCTGTGTACCGGCACCATACCATCCTTGCATTGCCACTGTACTGGCACTGCACCATCAACACATCATCATCAAGCTGCCAGCTCTGTACCTTCCTGGCTCTTTCGCTGTACAAGCACAGTATCGTCCGCATACCCATGACCACACCACCATTATACCGTCTCAAAAACTGTGCTCCAACACTGTATGATCCTTCAACCAGGACAGTGCCAACAACGTAACTCGCTGGAATCTTCGCTGTAGAAGCATTCATAACATCCATTCCCAGATCCATCGCTGCTGCTGCTTCTGCAATCAGCGCCATTCTACTATTCCTGGGCCAGCAGTGCAATGCCCCCCTCTCCCATCATCGCTGAACAAGGAACTGTTCGTCCAGCTAACGTTTCTGGGCATCGCCGTACATACTCTGCCAAATGTCCTGAACGTTCCAATACATAATTTGTACCATCCTTGTGTCATTCCCTTGTTGGCGCCAAAGCTTCCGTGGCAATTGCCCTCGTGGACCTTCCTTGAGACACCCACCCATCCACCCACCATTCTTCGAGCATCCGCTTGAGAGATCATATAATTGGCATTCTCATTCTTGTGTACTGCCATACATATCTGCAAAATCTCCCGAACAATCTCACACCTAGTCCATACCACCCTTGTGCCATTCACTCATCATGATTAGATCTTGATCTTCCCCGAATTGCCATCGTCGTGTCTTCGTCCCGCCCTTGTGTCATTCACTCGTCATCACTAGATCTTCCTTCATCTTCCCTGGACCGACAATGTCGTGTCTTCCTTGAGCCACCCACCCACCCATTTTATACACCACCATTTTTGGCGCATCGGCTTGACATCACGTTCAGCATCCCCAACTTTCCTCCTTGCCTTGCTCCATTCGTGGCCCTGCAGGCTCCTGGTTTATTCACAGGGACTGCATTGTTGCACCTGGTTCCATTTGTGGACCAGGGGACTGCAGCTTGGAATACAGACAAATAAAATTTAAACCTCCATGAGTTACTTGTCCACACATCACATCGCAAGACAGCAGAGATAAGACCCATCAAAAGTCAAATAGGATTCAACCACACCCATAAAACAGACGAGATGACAGCGAAAATTATTTCACTCTTAGGAACATGGATCACAAGCCCGCAGCTTGAAAAACACAAATAAAAACCTCTGTGCACAGTATCATCATCATTTAGTACATACATGAAATAACATGGATAACAACTTCGACAAGAGACTTCAATCACCCCCTTCGCCCCCAGCCTCCCCACCAGCGTTCCAGTCTTGTATTCTTCATTTTTTTTATTTTTTTTTTCATTGTTTTGCAAATCTTTCTTGCTGATGGAGGAGGACGGGGTGCAAGATGTTGGTGGGGGAGGGGGGAAAGGGGGAGAAGGGAGTGACGAGATGCAGATGGAAGGGAGGGAGTGGCTAGATGATGATAGAGGAGGGGGGGGGGGGGGGGGGGGGGGAGGGGGGGCGGTGAAGGGCAGCGGCAAGACACTGATGGGAGTGCAAGGGAAGTGGTAAGTCTGGCGATTGATTAAGGGGAGCTTAGCGCCAGGAGAGGGGGAGTGGCGACCGAGGAAGGTGAGCTTTGTGGCGGAGGAGAAGTGGCGATAAAAGAAGGGGAGGCGGTCTGTGTATCTGCGGGGGGAGGGGCGGTGAAGGGCAGTGGAGACTGACAAAGGCAAGGTGGGAAGTGGCAGTTGAAGAAGGGGAGGTGGGAAGTGGCGATTGAAAAAGGGCAGGTGGGAAGTGGCGATTGAAAAAGGGGAGGTGGGAAGTGGCGATTGAAAAAGGGGAGGTGGGAAGTGGCGATTGAAAAAGGGGAGGTGGGTTTCAAACTTTGGAAACTTCCCCCCCGCTCCCCCTGCACACACATACACACACACGCACACGCGCACACACACACACACACACACACACACACAGAGAGAGAG